CTTACATAGCAAATTACTTCCTAGTAAGTCTCTGAAGATTTGGCAGCTGTATTTTATCTTTATTTTGTCATCAGTCACAGTATCTCTACAAGGGGAGACAGCTTCATTTTATAGATACGGAAGCAGAGGCCACCTGAGCTTAAGTGGTTTGTCTGAATCATATGTGAACTGTATTGGACCAAAAGCTGGATATAGCAGTAGGCATCTTTCTGCAAATAAGAGGCAGTGCTCAAGAATCTGGAACTTTTTAATCTTTGTCTTCCATTGGTATAATTTTGAGTATGAGTGTGTGTTGTACGTGAGTGTTTGAGTTCAGAGATAGTATCGAATTCAGCTTTGTATCTAAAGTACCCAGCACTGTGCTGGGCACAACTCAGGTACTTAATAAATCCATGTGGAATGAATGAAAGGGTACTAGGAATGAACCTCGTCTGGCAGAAGACAGTGGCATTTTCGTGTTTAACCATTGTGATACTGATTATTCTCAGTTCCCCATTCTGCCACCCCATCTCCCCCACCAAAGCCTGAAATCCACCCATTAATAATAAATACATGTATAACAAGCAGTGATTTTTACCTGAAACTGCATAGTGGGAAGAGCAAAGATTTTGGAAGTAGAACTGAATTTCAGTCTTTGGGCATCTTGTGTAACTTCTTTATGCCTCAACTTGAGTCTAACAACAACAGATACAGCTGTTTCTACCATGGTCATGAATCCTACTGGTATTTATTAAGCACTCACCTAGAGCCAGGGCATGTGCCAGGGGTCTTACATGCATCACAGTATTTAATCTGCACAGCACACCTGGGAGGCAGGTGTTATTATTATCCTCATTTTACCCTGGCTCAGAAACACTGAGTCTCTTGTCAGACGTCACACAGCCAGTGAGACAGAGCTGGAAGAGGGGTAATGACTGTTGTGAGGACTTGATTCCTGGCCCTCCATCAACAGTAGCTATTAGGATGATGGCAATAATGCACCAGTCTTTTGGGTATGAAGCACTGTGAGTGTACAGCATCTTAGTATGAGTAAGCTTGTGAGATCAATTCCCTCCCCAATAACACTCAGCATAAAAGCTCTCTCTGCTCAAGCGGAGAGGAAACTTAAGGATTTGTTAGGGGGTGAGGATGTGGGAAGTGATCACATTATTCTAAAATTAAAATTGTCCTTTTGAGAATACACTCTTCAACATTCAGCTATGAGGGTGTGTGAAACTAGGGAACAGGAAACGGAAACTAAGACATATTTTATCAATTCCACAATTTACCCATGGTATGTCTTGATGTGCTATGGGCTTGAATATTACAAAGAACAGAATGGAACATTCTTCCTTGCTCTTCCCTTAAGAGAAACTGTTGCTGTATGTTCAGCCTCCCACAATGTTTCAGGGGAGAGCTGCCAGAAGAGAGTAATAACACTAGCAGCATTATCTGCTGACACGAAGGACAGGAATACACTTACAGCCTAGACTTGGCTTCTTGCCTCTTGTTCAGGCACCGAACAGCCGGGCTTACTGACAACCTCCCTGAGACACACTCGCTTACTCTAGCACTATTTAAATCTCTCTGTATGGTGTATTGCTTTGTTTCCTTCAAGCCTATTATCTCTTTTGCACCCCCAAGACAAAAGGAACAAGAAAGAGTATGGATCAGAGGATGTTAACCTGGGATCTAAGAATCCCGACATGAATAGGCTTCGGGCCAATCTGGAAACAAACCCCTGACCTCTCAAAAGGTGAGAGGAGGCCCAGACCCTCTCGATTTCTTGAGACTCCAGGTAGATTAAAACATAAATATGCCTAAAAAGGGCTAGCTAAACAGTTATTTTTAACAGTTTACTATAATAAATGAGCATTTTTAGCACAGAACAATATAAAGCAATACAACTGTGCAAAGCACAGGATAGTTACAGTGTTTACTAAAAAATACAAATTCAGAGTGTATTTCTGGCAGAGTGGTTAATTGTGGATCCCATGGCTAAGGCTGTCTGGTGAATGCTTTGTTTTTCAATCCTCAGAGTGTGTCTCTGTGAATGTCTGTGTAATCTCATTTCAAAAAGTAAGTTACAGTAAAAATATGAAGATTGCAGGGAATGTGAGTCCCCAGCCACGTGGCCTCCCTGGTTCCTCTCTTTAGTCAGCCATTCCTGAGAAGCTCTACTCTGCCCCTGACACTGAATGCAAACTTTCATGTTTGTGTGTTCATTTCCTAGATTTTATAAGATTCTCCAAGCAGTCCATTCTCCGAAAAGGGTTAAGAACGATTTGTCTCAAAAATAGCCTACCCTATCAAACTCAGATCAATGAATAGAGCTCCACATTTTTGAAATTCAGAATACTCTTCTTTAAATTGTAAAATCTTTTAGCCTTGAAATTTGATGTAATATTAAAAACTCTTTAAAACAACTTGCTGGTTTTTAAAAAATGTGTAGTAATCTTGAAATTCTTCTTGTTTTCTTTATTTGCCTCCTTTCCATCCCTATTCTAGAATACATGAGGTTAAAAACAAGGCATTGATCATACTGAATAGGCAGTGGTCTAAACTTTGCCTTGCTACTCTGTAGCTCTGTGACTCTGTGGAAGCACTTTCCCTCTCTGGTCCTCAGTTTCTGTATCTCTAAGAGGAGATGGTGATTTCTATTTCTCAAGTTCCTTTTAGCTTTAAAAGACTATAAATAAGGTTTTTCTTACTCCCATTCTCCACTTCCTGCCAAACTGTCCCCAGAATATTTTAATACCCAATCTCCATAGCTATTGTTATGATGTACTGGCTTACTCTGTTAGAAATAAAACATTTACTTACTTTTAACTACAACCAAACCCAGTACTTACTAGGCATAGATTCAGACTTATTTTTTCCCTTGACCTGGTGGCAACTAAATGTTTGTTTTGTTATCATTATGAACAGTGTGTGCCCGATAATACTCAAACCACTATAAAAACTTTAAAATAAAGGAAAAATCAAACTTTTGGCTCAGGTAAATTGCCAAATACAGATCTGCACTGATAGTTTAGGGACACTAGATGGCGATATAAGTGCATCAAATAACAAACGTTTCCTTGATGGATCCAGTATTAAAATCCCAATGATTGAGGCCAGAACAGGTTAATACATTAGTTAAAGAAACAGAGTCAAATATAATCAGGTGTTGAAGTGTTAGCTAACACTCTGAATGTGTCCAGTAACCCTTTACTTATTGAAAGAAAAGATTGTCAAACTGGAAATTAATTTATCCTGCTGCTGAGTCTATGTTTAAGCTAATTCTTGGGGCAAGAGTTGGCAATAAACACATATATCCCATAATATGTATCTAATTCGTACTTTCCTCTCCATTTTTGGTTTTCCTTTTTTTTTTTTAAATAGCAATTGTTTGGAATGGAGTGCGCCTCACATATATTATTCATGGATGAAGTACTATATTCTTATTAGGAATGTGAGTCCTAAGACACTGGGGTTTTAAAGGGGAAATGGCCGACTTACTGTAAGCTGTTAGCCGGGCCATTATTGACTGGCAGGATCAACTGGAAGCACTCTGTTAGTGGATTATGTTGCCCTGGAAATGCCTTCCTGAAACTCTAATGATGCACTTAAGGGAGCCCTCTGGGACAGGAGTAAAATGTCTCTTAGCAGGCGTGTCTTCCACCAGAGTCCTCTTGAGATGAGTTGGGAGGGGGCAGGGGCACGTCAAAAGAGATGCTCAGTGAGGAAACAGCCCCAGAAAAAGGTTGCAGGTAATAATTTCTTACAGGTAAGCTAAGATAATGACTTACTGACGTAAACTGTGCGCTTTCCGAAGGTGCCAGTGCTTCACGTGCTCTTTTGAAAGAGCATCACGAATTCGAGAGAGACTGTCTTTATTTATTTATCATTTATTTATTTGTTGGCGTGGGGCCGGGGTAACAGAGGGATGGAGAAGGAGGAAAAGAAAGAGGAGAGCATTTGAAAGAATATGGTTTAATCCTCCTTGAATAAAAAAAAGCCACTTTGTAGCTTAAATGGGGTCATTAGGGTCATTCGGTGTGCTTTTTTTAAAAACAAGCTTTAGAGGAGAAATTTGCCCTTCAGCAGAAATTCAGCGCACGTGCAAAGGGTTTGTTTGTAGATTTTTCAAATGAAAAATCACTTGTGTTTCTCTCACGCTGGGGGAGGGGGGTTATTTCTGCGGGATGGTGGTGGCGGTGGAGGTCTAAAAGCAGGAAGAAAGGGCAAAGCAAAGGCGCTCGGATACTCCAGGCTCCCAGACAGGACAGGGAAGGAAGTGGCTGCGCAGCGCTGCGTCCCCGCCCCAACCCAGAGCGCCGGGGAGTCGCGTGCCCACGGCCGGAGCGCGGCGTCCCCGTGCAGTCTTGGCGACCTGTCACCGAGGAGGACGTGACTCGGAGCTGCCTCCGCTTTCTCCAAGCCGTATTCCTTTAAGATGATGTAATAGTCATTTCCCTGGATGGTTTCTCGCCTGCACTGCTGAAACAACAGCCTCCGAACTGCACTGGGAACTGTGGAACCACCCAGCTCCGAGGAGCCGGAGCCCGAGCCCCGCGCTGGCATCTCTGCGCTGTGGCGGCCCACGGCTGCCGCCGGCTCCCACCTGGCTGGGAACATGGGAGACCGTTTGCCCTTGCCGGCAGGTGGGGTGGCTACCTGGGACCCCAGCAGGGCACATCTGTCTTTCTGCTTCTGGGCTTTCTGAAAAGCTTCTAAGTCCCGGTACCTCTTACAACTCTCTTCTGTTTTAAGGATTCTTCTAATGGTTTGATTTTTTTTCTTTTTCTGGAGAAGCTTTGGTTGAATATTTTTCTCTGCTTTGCTTCTTCAACCCAGCCACCTCTCATCACGGTATAACTTTTTGTGACTTGTCTTAACTTGAGATTGGGAGTGGATATATACATACATACAAACATACGTTTATATAAATATTTATATATATATATAACATTATTTTCTGAGAGCACATCTCTCTGGCACTTTTCATTGATACCTCTGTCCTTTACCTCTTTGGGATTTGGCTGTGGATTCTGACTGCTTTGCAAATGGGTATTTCTTCCAAGAACTGGATTTCCAGCACTCACTAAGGTAAGTTTCAAGGTTTATTGCTATTTCTGGCCAGCGGGAGAAAAAAAAAAAAAAAAAGCGATTCCCTTTTAGAAGTTGAAAATTGCATATTCCTTTTTAATGTAGAAATACAAATAGAAGTGTTTTTAATACTAATTGCTGGAGACAGAGTTGTATGGATAAGCATGTAGACACAAAATAGCTTGAGAGAAGCTACGATTTAGTTGAACAAGGGCTGAAATCAGTAGGTCCAGGGCTGCTTATGTAAAATAATCTCTCCCTTCCTCCCTCCCTCCCTCCCATCTTCCCTCCCTCCGTCTCCCTCTCTCTCCTCTCTCCAGCGGTCTCTCTTTTTCTGACTCATGCTGGGTTTGAGAAAATAATTTTCTCTTTTCCTTCAGACAGACCTCTGAGTAACTGGGGACTCGGCCTGCCTTGCCTCCGGAGCTTGGGGAAGAGCGGATGGAGATGAGTTGATTATATTCCATGAAGTAATAGCTCACCACCAGCCGGGGTTTAAACTACTTTTGCAGCATCACTTCACCTGTGGACTCTTCTAAATTTTGCTTTCTTGGGGAAAAAACTAGGGTAAGAGGAGGTCGTTTTTAACAAGTTAACGTCATCCTCCCTCCCTTACAAGTTGATGCAAAGGATAAGGCTGTGACTCCATTGGATTGCACCTTCAAATCAAAATAGGAGAAGAAAGGGACAATGGCTCTGAGTGGAAACTGTAGTCGTTATTATCCTCGAGAACAAGGGGCTGCAGTTCCCAACTCCTTCCCTGAGGTCGTGGAGCTGAATGTTGGGGGTCAAGTTTATTTTACTCGCCATTCTACTTTAATAAGCATCCCTCATTCCCTCCTGTGGAAAATGTTTTCCCCAAAGAGAGACACGGCTAACGATCTAGCCAAGGACTCCAAAGGAAGGTTTTTCATTGACAGAGATGGATTTTTGTTCCGTTATATTCTGGACTATCTCAGGGACAGGCAGGTGGTCCTGCCTGATCACTTTCCGGAAAGGGGAAGACTGAAACGGGAAGCGGAGTACTTCCAGCTCCCAGACTTGGTCAAACTCCTGACCCCCGATGAAATCAAGCAAAGCCCGGATGAATTCTGCCATAGTGATTTTGAAGATGCCTCCCAAGGAAGCGACACGAGAATCTGCCCCCCTTCCTCCCTGCTCCCTGCCAACCACAAGTGGGGTTTCATTACTGTGGGTTACAGGGGGTCCTGCACCATGGGCAGAGAGGGGCAGGCAGATGCCAAGTTTCGGCGAGTTCCCCGGATTTTGGTTTGTGGAAGGATTTCCTTGGCAAAGGAGGTCTTTGGAGAAACTTTGAACGAGAGCAGAGACCCTGACCGAGCCCCAGAAAGATACACCTCCAGATTTTATCTCAAATTCAAGCATCTGGAAAGGGCTTTTGATATGTTGTCAGAGTGTGGATTCCACATGGTGGCCTGTAACTCCTCAGTGACAGCATCTTTCGTTAACCAATATACAGATGACAAGATCTGGTCAAGCTATACTGAATACGTCTTCTACCGTAAGTACAGAGGGTTCTTTTTATTTTTCATGTGTATCGATTCTCTTTACAGATATATATGGTCTTTATGTTCAGTCAATGTCTAAGGAATACTATTTTGGGATTTTTTTTAACTCTTGAGGTATAGCTAGGGTATTAGAAGCTATAATTTGGCTCTCCTGTCTTACCTAAGGCAACGTTTATTCATTTTTCCAGTGAAGTCACAGAATATTCAGAGGCCTCAAAAATCTCAAGATGCAAATGATATTGGTATAGGTAATATGTGGAATGAAAATAGACATGTATGTCTGGTTGCTGGATATTGAATTGTGAAGATAAGGTTGATGATTAGAATTTGGCTGTTGGTCCTCGGGAAGTTGGTAGACTCAGAGTGGATGAAGTGCTGCTGTCTATTCTTTTAGTTGAACTTTGGGGTCTGTCAAGCTGGTTGCTGAAGACTTGCTTTCCTTAGCGGCTTTGAAAACACAGATGGATGTTGCACCGAATGACGTCGTCTTGGCTAGATGGCAGTATAGACTGACGAAAGACCCCCTTTCTCCCTCCCAATTCTGAAATTTGCTCTTAGGGGCTTTACAGATCTGCTATTTGATTCCTTAGCATTTTGTACTCAGACTTGAGCTGCACTGCGGACTTAATTAAGCTGAACTTCATTTGAGATCCATCTAAAATGAACTAGATCCTTGAGAATTGTCAATCACACACAAACATCTTCAGACAGCGGGGGTGATAGAATTACGGACATCAAAGGAAACTAAAGGGAAAAAAGAAAGGAAGCAATTGTACTGAAGCTTTTTAAGTAAGGGTTTCTTAGAGGTCAGTCCATTTGCTTAAATGACGCCTTACGGTACAGATGGGCTTGTTTTAGGAAATGGCGTTATTCTAAATGAACTATAAGCCATTGATCTCTGAAGAGAGAGTAATGAATCAGTCTGTAGAGTTTAGTTCTTGATTTAACTGCTGATTTTCAACAGACGTGGGAGTTGGGGAAGTGAATTCCATAAGAAATATTTTTCCAGTGTTAACATTTATTTTCCTCTATCTTATTTTAAGGCAAATCCATACATTTGGGGGGTTAAAATGTCTAAATTTCTTGGACTGATTTTTCCCAATAGTTGTGTTTATTCATTTGGAGATGGTGCTGGGCACCTTGCTGAAGAGGCTGGTAGGAAGTTGAGATGTTCTGTACTGGGTTATCACATATTTGGTTTTTAGGAGTGAAGACACATGGGTTGTATAGAAACGACAGCCTGTGGAGAAAAATGAAATCAGCTATCAGTTCAGGAGCATATTGATGTGTAATAACAAGCATTATTTGGTCCAATAACCCTGTCTATGGCCTTTATCTATACTCTATATCTTCCTCTATGCTGGAGCTTAGTCGCCAGATACTGCTCTCTTCCTTCTGGTGAATTTCCCACTAGTGTAGAGATAAGACTCTAGCTTTTTAGCTTTCTATAAAGGAATATGACATTATCTGTGATTTTGTAGAACAAATATCTTCTCCTAACTTTTTGAACTTAGAGTTCAAATCTAGGATTGTGATATTTGCCTTGTTCTCCAATTTCTAATATTTGAAAACAGCATCTTAAGAAGCTTCAGTCAAATGAATGAAAACATATCAGCCATACCCCCCCCAAAAGGCCACACTAGATTTCCAATCACTTGCCCATCTAAGTGGGACCCAGAACCTGAAATGTATTTGCCTACTAGCTCAGTGACATTTCTGTATTCATCAGACTCATCTGGCTAAAACTATGTCCTCTTTTGATTGCTCTGAACAGGCTCTGTTCTCCTGATCGTATACTCACTTCCTTCTTTGTGGGATTGCTGAGAGATGGCCGAGGAGCTGTTTGCTGTCCATTGCTCCATGGACAGGCTAGCACAAACACACAGCAACTTCATATTGCACAACATATATATGGCATATGATGTACTTCCCCTTTGTACCTAACATCCAGAGCTCAGTGTTAACTCTTCCTCTATCTTAGGACCAATAAAACTGACAGCTGGCTTTCTAGGGTGCATTACAGCTTCCGTGCAGCTGCTTAGCCATAATTATTTAATTAGAAGCTGCCAACTGTGCCTATATAAGCATTAATTCATCAAGCTGTTGTGCTTGGGTTAATGGGCCGAAACTATGGGAGGTGCTTTAAAGCACGGAGTTGACTGCACGCAAAGATGCTCTTTGGTGAGCACTGGCCCTACTGAGCCTGGCCAAGCGCCAACAAGCACCAAGTGGACGCACGCATTGCAGAGGGCATGAAGCACACGAGCCGCTGCCTGCCAGATCTGAAGGGGCAGCATGTGTCCAGGGAGTGCCCCCGCAATCCTCAAAAAAACCAACCAACCAACACACAAAAAGATGCTCTTCGCAGAGGAACTCAGAGGTTATATTTATTTAACCTAGGAGGAAGTTCAAGTTATATGTATATATTTATTTATTTAGACAAACTCCTTATATTCAAGGAATTAACTCCAAGCCATCAGACTCTTCTAATAACCCAGGGATAATGCAGAGTCACTTTGCCTGGATCCATATCACAGTGAAAAATGAACAGCGAGAAATTAATACATTGCATATCGTGGTTGCCAGTCACAGGGAGAGACTTTCCTGTATTTGCCTAATTTTCTTCCAAGTTTTCCAAGGGGAAATTAGCAGACTAAAATCTCCTTATCAGTTATTAACAGTTAGATTCTTGCCTCATTTAATCTTCATGTAGACCTGGAATTGATGGTCAACATCAGGTAGTTTTGACTGAGTGTTCAGTTAAAGTAGAACTATGAACAATTAAAGTCAACAGGTATTTGTATGTGTTTAGGAGGGCGGTAAGAAGGTGTGTTTGTCTTTGCTTATACACCAAAATACGATATGTGAGATACTATGGATTATGATTCACTTATCAGCAACCAAGAAAATGTGTGTTGTAGGAACATAGAAAAGAAATGTTTATCCTAATATTGCCATATAAAGTATTTTAGATGCAGCCTTTGTTTTAATTTAAAACAATAAGAAGGCACCTGTCCTCCTTCCCCACCCAACTAGCTAAATAATTACCTCTCTTTTCTCTTCAAGTGTTTTATAGAAGGAAATATCATAAACATCAGAGAATGCCTTCTTGATTCACCTCTAAATGAAATGGGAGCTAAGTAATTTGGAAAAGAGAAGTACTGATTTTGAACCATGTACTCAATAGCCACTCACACCATTTAGGAACAAAATCACAGGTGCATGGAAATAAATGAACCTCTTATTTAAAGCCATCTTCCAATGCCTGAGAGAGGGGGAAGATTGTTCTTGGTTGGAGAGAGTTATGCACATTTCCTTAATCCTACTCATGAGTGAGTTACTTCAGGCAAATGCCTGAAGCACTCAGAATCAAAGACATTTGCCTCTAATAAAACCGTGATGACATGACCACAAATAGGGAGTTTAATTCGTAGGATGCTTACTCTAAAAGCATACACTCTGAGTTCTATGAATTATGGATAGAGACACCAATTCATCACTTTTCCAACAAATTGCTACTTGTAGGTGCATTTTAACCTTCTCTTTACTTCATTTCCTTAAATTTAAAGGGTTGTTCCCACAAAGTCTCTAAATTACTTTATGTACACAGTATACATCTTCAGGGTTGTAGATTGAGATGGGGTGTTGGAGAAAAGTATATCAGGAAATGATTTCTCACTTAAAATTCACCTGCATGACCTTGTATTGGGAAGGAATATGTGGTTCTGGCCCCTGTGAATAACTTAGCTAACATTGACTTTAAAAGCTTCCATAAGAGGGTGTGTTTTTGTAGGAGAACAGGTGGAAATGCATCTATCCTAAAATGATTCTAGCTCTTTTTCTCCTGGTTGCTCGAAAGATACCAATGATAACTTCAGTTTTTATTGCCCATGGTGATATGATGTTGGCACGTTCAAAATGAAGCAACAGAACAGTATAGTCAAAACTGTGAAGAATTGGTCTTTACCAATACCACATCTCCTCTTTCTGTGACTTTTTTCTGTCTTATCCACCTTAGATGCTCTCTTTTCCTCCTCGTTTAGTCATTCCTGCTTTCAAGTTTTTTCTCTCCATGCCATAATCAAGATTCGTTGTCAGTAAAAATTCTGTCATTATATTTAGAATACTTTTAAGGCATGGTGTTACTCTTCTCAGGGGATTTTTTACATAAGAAACCTTTTGATAGTTGTGGATCAGGTGACTTTGTATCCCGAAGAGTGTGTTCTTAAGGCTTGAAGCTCCTTAATTTATAATTAAAAAATATAGCACAATTTAAATGTAAGGCTTTATCATGAAGTCAGTTTAGACCCGTGCCTGGGCAGCTATTGGATAGTAACAGGGATTGTAAAGGGCAGGGGTAGTAGATGTAATTTTTTCTTATCTCTTTAAGATGCTGTGCTCCGAGCACTGGGCTCAATATAACAGTGATAAAAGCATGTTAGTAAAATATTTTGTTATACTGCTTTCACTTTTGTGCCAAACAAGATATGTTACCTGAGCCCAATCTGTTGTGGGAGGCGATTAAAGTAGTTTCTTCCTAGGTCTGTGGCGTCACTGACTGAATTTAGCAGCAAGAGAAGTGTCAATATGTGGGCGGAAAGAGGAGGTCTCCGAGATTTCCCCCAAGTGCCTCGATATGTTAAAAAAAATATATGACTGGAAAGAGAAGCCCAAATGTTCCTGACAGCCTAATGAGTTTTGGATCTTACCAAAGAAATTAGAAATGGAAAATTGCTGAGAATATGCCACAAAGCTCCATTTGGAGCACCTCCAAACACAAGCCATGGAGAGGCGTGACTATGCATGGGAGAGAGTGCCAGTCCAATGCACAGAAAAAAAGTTCTTCAGGACTTGGTGGATGAATGCTCAGTTTCTGCATCGTAACTCACTGTTGCTCTTTTTCTTTGGTCTTTGCTGTTGCTTTCCTCAAATACTGCATTTCTTGGCAAGTCAGTTAAAAAAATTTTAGTGCAGAAATTTTCAAATGCATCCA